TGTGTGTGTGTGTGTGTGTGTGTGTGTGTGTGTGTGTGTGTGTGTATGTGCGTTCATGTCCGTGTGCGTGTGTGCGCGTGCCACCACAGGCCATCAGTGTTTAGCAAATTCATCTTCCCAACGATGAGAACTTCCCATAACGTGCCACAGCGTCGTGGAAGTGCACCTGGCAGAGAGTTAATTCTTGGGCGAGAGAGTTTCCATCACAGTTCTTCCTTCGTCTCATCCGTTCGTCTGTTCATCTTTATCCTCTAATCCCATACCTTCTCCTTTTCCTGCCTACTTCTGCGACTCATATTTCGTGTGGTATTTTTTTTTACTTCTCTTCTTCCTCGTGTTCCTCTTCCTCTTCCCCCCTTCTTCTTTAACTCGTTGTTCTTCTTGTTTAATCTTCTTTTTCCTCTTCTGCTTCCTCTTATTCTTCCTCTTCCTTTTCTTCCTCTTCTTCCTCCTCTTTCGTTCCATCCTCTTCTTCTTCCTCTCCTTCCTTCTCATTTTCCTCCACTTCCCCATCATCATTATCCTGTTCCTAATTGTCCTCCATTTCCCAGTCCTCCTCTTACTCCTCTTCATCACCTCCCTTCTTCTTTTCCCCCATTGTATTCTTCTCCTTTTACTCTCCAACCTCCTCCTCCTCTTCCTGATCGCCTTCCTCTTTACTATCCTTCTCCTACCGCTCTTTCTTTTTTTCTCTCCTTCGTCTTCCTCCGCATTTTCCTTTCTTCCTTCTTCCTCCTGCTTGTCCTCGTCTCCTTCCTCTTCTTCTTCCTCCTCCTCCTTCTCCTCGCACTCGTCTCCTTCTTCTCCTCCTTCTTCTTCTTCTTCTTCTTCTTCTTCTTCTTCTTCTTCTTCTTCTCCTCCTCCTCCTCCTCCATCCCGTTCCGGCATCCTGTGACTCGAGGCGGCCGTTCCCTTCCCAGCAGTGTCGCGCCCTCTCCCGCCCTCTTGCTCCCGCTTCCCAGCCAGCCACCACAACGTCTTCGCCACAACAACCTCCCTTGTGGTCCAATCGACGGCTCTTCCCTTTAACGCGTCTCCGCCCCGACGTTTCACCTTTTGTTTGCAAACCACGATATCAATAACAGCAACTACAATGACAACAATAATGGCATCAACAACGACAGCAATAATAATAACAGCAAAAGCACACTTGCGCCGGAGAGCCACGAGTGTCACCATCGGCCGCAGGATCTCGCCGATCGCTGCAACGCCTCGGACAGATCGCTAGCTCTGACACCAAGTCCATCCGCCTGTACCCCTTCTCGCTACAACCGCCGGACAACAAGACTTCTCTTCCACCACTTGACAATGACATCGCTCCCACACTTGACAACAATAATGACATCGCTTCTGCCAACTGACAACAATATTGACCTCGCTTCCACCACTTAACACCACAGACATCGCTTCCGCCATTTGACAACACCACTGTCATCGCTACCACCACTTGACAACACTAACATCGCATCAACCACTTGACAACACCACCATCGCTTCCGCCACCAGAAAACCCCACCGCCATCGCTCCCACCGCTTGACAACACCACCACCACAACTACAACCCCGCAACCACCACCACAGCACCACAAGCCGGGCCACCGAGGACCGCCGCGGGGTCGGGCTCCGACAGCTTTCTCTGCATACCGAAATGTCGGCGCTTAGACTCCTCGCGAGATGAAAAATTCTGTCTCCGTCGCGCGTGTCATGGTAGCTTGGCGACCTACTTCTCCGTGTATGGCAGGGCATCGCTGCGATATGGCACCGGCGCGTGCATGCGTTTGTGAGTGTGTATGTGTGTGTGCGTGTGTGTATGTGCGTGTGCGTGTGAGTGTGTGTGCGTGTGCGTGTCCGTGTCTGCGAATCACAAGATGCGAATTATGCCCATCTGCGAGCACACGGGGGGATAGTATTCTGTCTACTTCCGCCGCATACATCATACCTATCCCCCGCCCCCTGCTGCCAGACACCCCTCCAGGGAACCTCTCCCACAGCGCCCTCCTGCACCTGCGCCCTCGCCAACCCACCGCCCAACACCTTGCCTCGCTCTCCGCCCTCCTCGCCGGCCGGCCCTTCTCGCGAGACGCCGGCCGGACGCGGTTAGGGACGACGCCGAGAGGACGCCGAGAGCACACCTCAACCTCTCCTACCACTCAACCACCAGCTTAGCAACACGAGCGCGGACTTACGAGCAGATAAAAGCTCTCCTCAGACTGACACACTTCACACAGTCACGCACACGCAGTCTCAAATCCCTCAATCCTCCCGGCGCTTTGCCTGCGGAGATGGCGAAGCGCAAAAAGGGCGTGCTTGGGGATTGAGCTCCTGGGATGCGAATTAACGGAGATTACTCGGCGGGAGAGATTAATCCTCAGCAGAAGAGAGAAATATACTAACTGGGGATTTCTTTTTCAAGACGAAACTGTGTTATCGGTTGCATAGAGACAAATGGAATATTAAAAGAAAGTCAGGAAGATTAAGTAGAAATGTACTAAAATCGTCAATGAAATCACCAGGACAGAGCAGAAACATGGTAAAATCGTTAATAAATCAGTAATCGGCTCAGAAGAATCCCAAGTCAGTTGCGTTTATTCTCATAGTCCTAACGCGGACTAAGACACACGCTCACGAAACAGCAGAGAAGCAAGAGGGCAGCTTAACGCACCTGCCTCGGACTTGTGGTGGCAATTCCTGCGCCACCACCGACCAAAAAAAAGGGGGGGGGGAGCATACACAAAGCCGTCCGAGATTCATTATATAACCACATATGTTGTTTGTTGACGAATGCTTTCTTTCGACATCGTTTTCTCCGCCCCTTGAGCCCCACCCCTCCCTCCCCTCCTTCCCCAAGTGAAAACGGGAAGGTCCACTCGAGTACACCGAGAAATGAAACAAAAAACGGGAAACTTTCGCTATTTGCGGAAAACGAAATGCAAATGCTCGTCAGCTGACCACGTACACAACCCAAGAAAAAAAAAAACAAGCTCAAATTCTTCTTGAACAGCAAAATCGCATATACATAAAAGGCAAACTTGTCGAAACGTGATACACAATCAATTTCCTATCGCTATCAAAGTGGCAGTCCCCGTGATGGCGACAGAGAGACCGACACCAACAGCTGATTCTCCGCCGAGTGAAATGCAAACAGCGGGATTGTTTAGCGTACCTCGAGGCGAGAGATGAATTGGCAACACTGCCGCTTCTGTAGTGACGGAAGGATAAACATTTGAAGATAAATTCTGACAAATGCTGAAGATGGAAAGAGATAGACTCAGATGGATCGATGCACTCATGGAGAGGGAGAGAGAGAGAAGGAGAGAGGGAGGGAGAGGGAGAGAGAGAGGGAGAGGGAAAGAGAGAGAGAGGGAAAGAGAGAGAGAGGGAAAGAGAGAGGGAGGGAAAGAGAGAGGGAGAGAGAGAGAGGGAGAGAGAGGGAGAGAGAGAGAGAGAGAGAGAGAGAGAGAGAGAGAGAGAGAGAGAGAGAGAGAGAGAGAGAGAGAGAGAGAGAGAGAGAGAGACAGAGAGAGACAGAGAGAGACAGAGAGAGAATGAATGAATGGGCGGGAAGGAGGGGGAGAGGTGTAGGGAGGAAGGGAAAGGAGGAAGGAAGGAAGAGAGAGAGTGATGATACAAAGAAAGCCAGATAGAGAGTAATGGCAAAAGAGAGAGTGAGAGAGAGAGAAAGAAAGAAAGAGAGAAAGAGAAAGAAAAAGAAAGAGACAGACAAAATGAGAGAGAAGATGGGGGCCAAGACCTACGCCCCCCCCCCCCCGCCCCCTAGACACGCCCGCAACCTCCCGGCCGGCGCCTAAAACCCGAATTCCGACGGCGGCAAGTAACCCAGCCGAATTTCATGACGATTGGATAAAAAAAGTGATTTAGAAGAAATTTCAGGCGAAGAACAAGAAGAAGGAAAATAGAATAGGAGAACAACAAATAAGAACGGCAACAAAAAAACAGAAGAAGAAGAAGAAGAAAAAGGAGGAGGAGGAGGAGGAGGAGGAAGAGGAGGAAGAGGAGGAGGAGAAGGAGGAGGAAGAGGAGAGAGAGAGAAGGAGGAGAGAAGAGGAAGAGGAGAAGGAGGCGAAGAGGGAGGAAGGGAAGGCGGAGGACGGCCACGACGCGACCGGGAGAAAACTACCAAATTCCACGGCGGCCGAGGGTGCGGAGCTCAGGGGATTTAGGCCGATGTTATGCCCCGTCGGCGGATGGCTTCGCAAGTGCTTCGTGTCGATGCTCGTCCGTTTTTCCCTCTGCGCGAACAACTTTCTACGGGACGGTCGGTTCGCTCTCTGTGAACAGCTGCGCAAAGGGGGGGGGTGCCATCTGTAAACAGCTGTGCAAAAGGGGGGTGCCATTATCTTTTGCCTGACGCGATCTGCAAGTCGATAGACGAGGGGAGAACTTTAGGCAGATAAGGCACTCAGGGTTGAGATTGACGCCTCTGCTTCATCGCCAGCAGGCAGCGGGGCACCAGCTGGCCGTGAATCAGCAGAGGGAGTACGATGGAAACAGCAGGCTGCACCAACATCACCATCATGCAAGATGGTGACGCCATGCAACAACCCACTTTTTTAAAAAGTTTCTTGCTCAAGAAATGTGACAGTTATCTTGGCGATGCTCTTCAGACAAGCGAGACCATCTGGGCTGCTTGGTTTCCAAATAACTCTCCCCTGAGCGTTCGTTCGTTCAGCAACACCTGCACGACACGGCTGACTCGAACACCTGTATTTAAGCCTCCTCGTCTCCTAGTCCAAGAGGACACTCGACTGACCCGCTTCTCTTATCTCCTTACTAGGACAGTAACACAAGCCTAGGTGGGACTCTCGGATTACCAGCTGGGTCCTCGGCAGCACCAGCTGACCAGACGCACATAATTACAGCGGTCATCTCCTGAGCCACACGACCAGGTTTAGGCTTGTGCCCTAAAAGAGGTCAGCTAGTTTCTAACAGGTTTCTCGGTGATTAAGTTTGCCGTTCTTAATCAAACTCTTGGTACTTAC